TATTTATTATAAAATAATTATTATTTAATACATAATAATATTTTATTAAAAAAAATTATATATTATATTTCTTTAAACTATACATATATCTAATACTATCATAAATAGATTATAAGATTCGTCATTATTATGACGATATGATTAATCAAATAAAATAAATTTTCTTTGCAAATTTCATTAATGATTTTATGAACTTCATATCCATGTAAAATATGCATTAAAAACTCTATGAACATATCTGATGTCTTCTAATAAAAACGGTGACCAACAGTAGAAATCGTTTCAAAAACTTTAAAAGGTTACCGAATATCATAATTTTACTACTAATAACACCGACGTTATATAATAAAAATTGCGCTAACGATGGTGTAAAATAGCCGCGAATGTAAATTAATTTAATCTTACCTCCTTCTTGCACTTTCTCTTGTAATCGGTTTTCGCAAGGTTCCATGACTTCGTTATAATATTATAAAGCCTGCACATAAATACATTAAAATCAATTTTCATCGCGGCTGCGATAATTAGTAATAGACACATTATTATTTATTATTAAGTATTTCTAATAAATCATTAATTATTTTACAAGTTACCTTTTCGTGGTAAGCGCTTATTTTCAAAATTTGTATACTGTTTGTTTTAATGAAAAATAGTATCCTCAATTGTAGCTGTTCATGCCGCTCTATACTGGTCTACCATACGTATCCTTCTCTGTTGCTTGCTATCTCTCTCATGCAGTACGCTTGGCGCATTCGTCCCGAATATCAGAGCTACCTACTTTGAATTGGGCAACATTTTGAATTACTTTCAATTATATTACTGTTAGCCTTGCAATGAATGCTTACATCTTTTGTACAAATTCTTATTAATCCTTCTTTATCAGCGGTCAACATGCAACAATATTTTTACAGAATTTGTATTTAGATATCTTGTTTTTTATATCATACGAGATACAACCGTTCTGATTATTCGCTAGATTACATTTTTCACTTCAATGTCCAGTGTCGCCTACCACGAGAACATTATCGATCTTTGCAGGCTTGGTGATCGCTACTAATAGAGTTAGATAAAAATTAGAATATAAGTCGACATATGTTTTTTTGTTTATGCCATTGTCATTAACGTTGAAGTATTATAATTTATTTTTTGTTGAAATACATCAGTTGCAATGAAAACAAATCTCGCTAAGCTTCATAGATAATTATATGTTCATATTTAGTAAGCTTGTATTTCTAATTATCGTCATATTAATTTAAACACGTGTTCGTTTATATTATATGTATAATTGAGATGATTGTATTAGAAAAAAATCTACTTACTTCCTTGAAATACAAGTCTAACTATACAGTTTATTATAATATATTTGTATACGGTAACAATATTAATTCTTTTATATGAGTTATGTTGTTAGTATAGTTATTATTTGTGCGATATTGCGTAAAGTAAAGCGGGATATATTAGTAGTGAAATGTATGTACTAGTTAGAAAATCGATACAATTGATGTGACATATTTTGTATTCTAACTTTTTATGCATGTTACTTACGTATATATGTTTTTCAATGTATAAATTCATTAAATTAAAAGTAATTAGGTACAATGATTTTATAATAATACAAAATTAAAATATTATTCACATTTTAGACTTCGTGTGTGTTTATGGATAATAGATGTTTTTATAATAAATTGTACATTTTCGAAATCAATTGCAAAAGTAAAAAATGAATGTTACAAAAGAAGATAGATGTGTATCATGTTTTTTAACATTGTACAAAACGGAATAAACTTAATTGAATCGAGATTGTAAAAAGTATCGAAATGATGATACAACCTGCTGTTACCAACATAAGAAAGTAATTAAATGTTTTATTTTTTATTTCTTGATTTATGAGAATCACAGTTTCTTGTATAAAAAAAAACGAATGTTTGTATTTTAAACCAAATTTTAAGCTTATTTTAAAATATACTATTTATAAAATGTATATTATTTTCAATTAGCTGTTTCAACAATTTAGTTTTCTTAATGTTTTCCATACTGATAGCACATTATCATATTTGTTGCCCTCTTCAGTTGTAAATGTAATATCAAGTTTGGTGGATGTATTTTTGCTTGTAGTCAAGTAATTTTATAAAATTATATGATATAATCTATAATAAAATATGTTACTTTCTGTAAAAAGCTGTACATTTAATATTTTCCAACATTACGGAAATGTCATAAATAGAAATAAACTATCTGAAGTATATCATTCGCGGTTTCTTAACCTCAATAATAATCCATTTATATGTCAATTATTTAACATAAGAAGAAATTTATTCGTAACCGATACCAACATTGAAAAATATTTGGTTCATCTTATGAATACGTATCAAAGTGATCATAAAGGAAAAGGAAGTATTTCTGAAATTCTTAAATTGCACGAAATACCACGATTATTGAATGAAAAAATTAAAATAACTGAAAACATAAAGAGCTTACATGATCTTGGTAAGTAAATTTCTTTCTATAATATAATTGAAAATTAACAATTTTTTTCTGTGGTTTATAATAAATATGCAACTTGTGTTTTTGTAGGTAAGGATGAAGAAATAAAGAATCTTGTAAAGGAAGAAGAATTAACATACACACAACAATTGTTACAGATAGATCAAGAAATTTTAAATATTACTTTAGGATATATAGATATAGAACATTATAATAATGTTATTATGGAAATAGTACCAGGTGTAGGTGGTCAAGAAGCTATGGTTTTTGCCAAAGATTTATTAAATATGTACATATCCTATTTTAAACATTTAGAATTTAGTTATGAGATAATAGAGATGCTTGATAGTGGAATTGGTGGATTAAGGAAAGCTGTTTTGTTGATATCCAATAGTAATGCTTTCAAGAAATTGAAATATGAAAGTGGTATACATAGAGTACAAAGAAATCCAATAACAGAAAAATCTAGTCGTTTGCATACCAGTACAGCTGTTGTAGTAATTTTACCAGAACCTAAAGATGTAGAAATTAAACTGCTAGATAAAGATTTGATAATAGAAACAAAGAAAGCATCTGGAGCAGGAGGACAGCATGTAAATACTACAGACTCGGCAGTTAGAATAACTCATATACCTACTGGAACAGTTGTAACTTGTCAATCAGATAGATCCCAAATAAAAAACAAACAGTTAGCATTAACAAAATTAAGAACTATATTGTATGAGGAATACATTGACGAGCAAGCTTCATTCAGTAATAAGATACGCAAAAAACAAATGGGAAAAAGATTGAGAAATGAAAAAATAAGAACATATAACTACCTTCAAAATCGTGTTACAGATCATAGGATAACAGATGGTACAATCTATAATTTAAGAGAATTCATGATAAATGGGGCAGTTTTGGAAAAATTCGAGGATAAACTCTATAAGGATTTGCAACTGAAAACTTTGCAGGAAATTATAGAAGAAATAATGACACAATCCAAATAACACTAGTTTTTAACATTTGCCATCTTGATAAGAAACGATTTTCATTTTACATAGGCAAGCTATTGTACATAGCAAATTGTAATAAACTCTGTGTAATACAAGTAACATTATTCGTTTTTCGGATGAAAACTCACCACATTTCTTATCATTAAATCCTTTCTGTTTCACTCAAGGAAGCAGAGAGCTAGTGAAGTAGAGAGTTCAGTTGTTTATTTGAAAAACATACAACAAGATTTTTGTTCCTTTTTTCTTTTGTTTCATTTTGTCTCATAACCGCGTGTCCAAAGGCACACATTCTTGTAACTGTCGTATAATACATTAATATACAAAATTAATATTCGTAATCTCTATAAATATCAAACGACACGTTTTATATCGGTTAATGTACAAAGCGCAAAATGTGTGTGAATGTGTCTCATAGTGTCGTAAATGTGTGACGTATATACAACCCTGCTCTAATGTACATACTTCCCTGTAAAATCTTACTTGAATACTCTAAAAATTAACATTACTGACTGTTGTAGCGAATTAAGTTCGTGGTAAATGCAATTTTGTCGTTTCATTGTAACTTCCTTCAACCGATTATCCTATGAGGTGTAGGTGCGTCCTCCACCTACGAGTGTTTCTCGCGCGAATTAACTTCTTCCGTTGTATTGGGCTTAAAATCTAGATCTTAAATGTGTCATATACATTCTGGTTGTTCTAGAATTTTCCTCCTACGCATAGATTGGACGACTATGGTTTGCAGAGCAACTAGCAGTAACAGTATTTAAATTAGCAGTGTAATTTACATTTCCTTCTCCAATATTTCTATATATAATACTTTTGTCCGATATACTATCATATTTTTTGGTTACTCCTTAGTTTTTATCTATTTTGATGTATGATGATTTATAAAATTTTGATTATTTTTATCTGTTATTGTTTTTTCCCAGATTTCAAAAGTTTTAGAGAAATTTGGTCAAATACAAAAATCATGCATAGTGATTAATATTATCCAAATAGACAAAAATGTAGAGAAGGATGAAAAGAAGAAATAGAGCAGGGACGTATATGCAATAGACACAGTATTACATTTCGGGCAGTAAGGTTATTCTTTAGGACTAGTTCGGCACCAATTTACGGGCATACATCCCATTGAAATCCCATTAACCCTGATACCGTGATATAGTATTGTCCTCGAGGTACGTTGATGATTGGACCGGTTAATATAGGCGCAGACCCTGCCTGCACTATCATCAAAGTACCATCTGAGGAGACAGCACCAGGACTCAGAGAACTCCTTATTATAGCATTACTATAAACATTAGAACATCTTAAAATTGCGATAATTATAAAAACGAAGAAAAGAATATCAATTGATTTATAACAAATTATTTCGAATTGTACTTTTGCTCCATTTAATAGTTTTTGATGAAACTTGGCAAAGATAATACGTTCTCGCAAACTTCCCGAAAAACGTTCTAATTACATTTATATATTGCACAGTATGAATGACCGCCGTAAAGATAATCTTTTCGTTAAAAAATTAGCAGCGTATTAATTTCTAATTGAAATTTTAATTGTTTTCTATATTTGACTACCGATTTAAAATCGGCTCGTAATCGACGTTCTAGTGAAAAATTAATGTTGACTAAAGACGACTCGAACCAGAGTGCAGATCATCGACAAAAGAAAAAGGAGGTAGATATTTGGTGCTATATTTGAAGCCAAGCCGCAAAGGTCTTTGATCTCGCTCTCTCTCGGATGACTGCGAATACAAGATTGAGGTTTCTTCCGCTTCAAAGAAGTGAGTGCCTTCTGACATACCAACGAGTTATTCTCATAGATTATCTCTTCCGGTATGATGCTCAAAGGAGGCATCATCGTTTCTGTACAGCCCGTGTTAACAACCAGAAGAAGCATGTTACTGAAGTCAACTGGTTGTACAATGTATGGTCTTGTACACTTTTTAGTTACTTCTGAATCTACATCAAACAAGTCAAAGGATGCATTCCGTAGATACAGATATACCTAGCAAAATTAAAAGAAGTATCGTTTTGTTGTGTTAAAATTGTATACGTAGTTAAAAATTGCGATTAGTAGATACTTTATGAAATATACCTCTTGGTCACAAGCTTCCGGTCGCGTTCGATTAATTAAAACCTTTTGGTCGAATAACTTCTCGCCTTTTGAATCTACTGGCGGCTTTTCTTCACCTTTTTGGTAATCTTCATGTATATCATTTTCCTCGTTCGGATAAGCATACGCTTCTGTGTACTCGGATTCCCAAATTCCAGCTTTGGCCCAAGCCCAGGCTGCTTGCCCGATAAGCCATGAAAGTATCTTTTGAGCGTGCTTCCACGGCTAAGCATAATCAAACAAAATTTATTAAAAAATGTTATTAATATTTGTGGTATTTAATTATTTACAAACATTTGACAGATATAAATAAAATATAAAATGTATTTACCGTTAATAAAATATTTCCATCGTTACTAGTATGCGTACTTTTGAAACAAACTGCTTGATAATCAAATATTCTGATTCTTTCAAAGACACCTTCTTTTACCAAACTAGACATGATTGGTCCTCTCAATTCGCCAAAGAATTTTCCAGCATGAGATTTATCTTCGGCTGCGATTACATATCCGTTGTTGTCGATCAAATAACATGCCCAGTTCTCTGTACCGCAATGTGTGTCGCATTTTCCGAGTCCTTCACAGCTAAATGTAGTGTTCT